GCCGCTGCGGGCCGCGGCGCCCCCCGCCGGGCTCGTCCCCCCCCGCCGCGGCCTGTCCCGCGTGGGTCCGAGCGGCCCCCGGGGGCTCCCGCGGCCCCTGCCCCTGCTCACGGCCGGTGCCCTCCGGCAGGTGGCCGCCCCCGGAGCCCCCCGGCGCGGAGCCGTCCAGCCGCGGCCCTCCCGAAGGGAAACCTCCTGCCCCGGCCCTCCTACGCGTGCGGTGCCACCGCGGCTCCTTTGGCGCCTCGGCCGTCTCTCTTGAGTGTCTTGCCCCTCTCGAGTCCCGGCCCTGGCTCCCGGGACGCCTCCCTCGCGCAGGGCCGACTCGCTGCTCCAGGGCAGAGGGTCTGTGCCGAGACGCCCCTGCACCGGCACAGCGCCGTGAGCGATCACATCGCACCTGCGAGCGTAGCTGGAAAGTTAGCAGGTAGCCGGCCAGGTGTGAAAATAAGATGGGGGGAACCTGTTCTAAAAAGCACCCTGCTCTCCCTAGTATTTGGCTTCTCTCGTTGTTATTGTGGCCGAGCCCAGGACTCTTCTGGAGAAGGTGCATCCCCGTTCGCAGCGCTTCACAGCTCTCCTCTGACTGACACGCTCCACGCCACTCAGACGCGAGACTTCCCTGGGGGGAGGAGCTGACTTTAAATATAGCGTTAAGTAGCCTCATGAGCTGAGGCAATTCCTGTACAGCTTGTGTTCTTATGCGGATATAAGCCCCAGGGATGCCTTTTTTTTCTTTGCACAAAACTGACTTGCTCTGTGTTACCGTCTGAACCTTATCGTCCTTCTAGGTCTTAAACCCTTCTGAATGTAAACTGTGGGGAAGCTCTTGGGCCCAATTCCTCTTTGTGAGCAGCCGTGCAGGAGCAGCGGGGGTAGGAATATCTGTGTGTTTGGGCTCATGTGACTTCCCTGTCGCTGCGCCGTTGAAGCACATCACAGCCTTGCTGGGGTTATCTTTGCAAATAGGCTCCTTAGCCTTGAAGTGCTCTAGAGAGGCCAACACACTCTCATTTTGTAGACAGAAGAAATAGAGGCAAGAACCCAAACCTGTCCAGGATCACACAGGTGGGATCTAGCCAAGCTAGAGAAGTGAAGATTCCCCAACTCCTGAATCCCACTGCTGTAGCAGTTAAACATCTCTTCTGTCCTCTTTAAAGTTATTTTCTTCTTTTCTCACATCAAAGGTGTTCTGGGATGCATCACAGCTATGGAAAATCTTAACTATGACCAGTGACATCTGTCTGAAGTTCTTAAACATCTTTTGGGTTCCCAGATGAAATAACAGATTTCATGAAAAGGGAGAAAACAAAATGACATTCTTTCTATAGACAAATTCTGCACAGGCAAATGTAACTGAAAAGTTTCTGGGATGAACTCTGTTTAAAAAAAAAAAAAAGTTTTTTTTTTTCCTCCTGGGAAATTGTAGGACTGCTATTTTAATTTCCACGGAAATTTGACTTTTAGGCATTTTTTTAATATAAGCAATGAACAAGCGATGGGTAGGTTGTGGAAGAGTGCTCTGCTTCTGCTCTCTTTGCCATGGCACAGTGGGGATTTCTTCTTGAAATTCTGAAATTTATGACAAACTGGCAAGGACCTTGAGGAAATAAGTGTGCCTATAAAATATATTGTCATACAGCTTGCTTGAAGAAAAACATCAATCTGACCAGACTCTAGCATTAGAGAAATCAAAATAATTTCCAGTTCTTAGTTTTGTGGGAAGGTGCTTTAGAGTATAGTATCTTTAAATCTACTGACAAGTTACAGGCCTTTGGAGTTTCCACAGCAATGTGAATTTGTGAAGATGGAGAACGTTTTACTGCTTATGAAAACCCAGTCAAATCAATAGTACTCCAGCAAAAACAGCGAGTGGCTGTAATCATGGGAGAAGCCCCCAGATGGAGGTGTCCTTCTTATGGGAACATCCTTTTTCTTCTGTAATAGGTCTTAAGAGTCTTTTAATATCACTCCTTAGCCCAAAATATCGGATGCTTTTTCAAAGGCCCTGCATAGGTAGGAAGATTTATGGATTTCTTTTTTTTTTTTTTTTTTTTTTTGCACCTACAAAATCTAGGTATGCTGAAATGCTGTAATCCTAAAGGATGGGCAACTCCAGTTCCCTGAAATGTCATCCTCCCCCAGTCCACGTTTGCTTCCCTCCTTTGCCTCTGCTAACAGTATTTTAGATTAAGTTTTTAATGTAAGTGTTTTCCTTTGTGGTTACTATTGCTTGGAGTAGAATTACCTTGAGGATATTTAACAGTCATCACAGGTGATTGTGCATTAACTCAGTGACCATTCTATGTCATTTCTTTGATTTGGATAATTTTTTTTTTTTTTTCCTCTTCAATTTACGGTCTCCTTTATATTTGCTTTGCTCAAACAAGTACCTAACAAAATGAATGTTAATCAGGTAATCAGGTGCATAACAGCTAATTTTTAGCTTTCTTGATTCTCTATATGGAGCACTTCTCATGCACAGAGTATATTTAGAGCTGACACTTTATCCTGTTATGTCTGTAAGAACACCTCTCATCTTTTATTTCTTAGAACATGGTGATGAGTTTCCGAGTCTCGGATCTTCAAATGTTGCTGGGGTTTGTTGGCAGGAGTAAAAGTGGACTTAAACACGAACTGGTCACCAGAGCACTGCAATTGGTTCAATTTGACTGTAGCCCTGAAGTTTTCAAGAAGATTAAAGAGCTCTATGAGACTCGCTATGCCAAGAAGAGCTCTGAAGCAGGGCAGCCCCAGCCGCAGCAGCACCGCTCTCCTGATGCGCTCTCCATACATTCTTCATACGACCGTGGGAGCTCTGTTGCTAGGACTTCTATCTCGACTACTAATATTGACTATCCTGCACTCTATGGGAAATACCTTAATGGACTGGGAAGGTTGCCACCCAAAGTCGTAAAGCCTGAAGTTCGGCTGGTGAAACTTCCCTTCTATACGACCCTGGATGAACTGTTGAAGCCAACAGAATTAGGTGAGTTTTCCTTGTGCTTTTCTGCGGTCTGGGAAAGGGAACTGAAATAGATAGTAAATTTCGAAAAGGTGGCAGCGTTTTTGAGAATCGGTAAACTTGTGTGACGGAAGGAGAAAGTGATGTGTGTTGTGATTAATGTCTCCTTTGCTTCCTCCCTGATGTTTTAAGTGTGGAGTAGAGCATTCTCAGCTGTTTTCCCTTTGCCTTATAACACAAAGGTGGTCACTTTGTAAGGTGTAAGCCTGTCTTGTTTGGCTGTAGCTCATATTCTGCATTGGGAATGGTGGTGTAATATTGCAGCACTGTGCTGTGCATCGCAACCTGTTCCCTTACGTAGCAGTAGATTGAAGAAACTCTTGCGTTGCACTTGTGCTAGGCAAATAGACTGGCATGTTCTGCCTTAAGACTGTTTTTCATTGCTTAACATACGTAACATAAAGCCTCTTGAGAGTGAAAGAAGGTGGTACATGTAACAAGGATAATTTCTGATGTGTTTTTTTTGTTATGCTTGTCACAATTCTTTGTGCATGTTACCAGGTATTTTGAGGAACCAGAAGAAATGTTTTCTCCTACTTTGGGGTTAAAAGTCTGAGTCTTATTTTATCTGAGACACAAAGAGTATTGTCACTGAGGTTAGATGTAGTATTTTTATAGTGAAGATATTTTATACAGGGGAAGTATCGTTGTATGGTGTTCAGCCTCTGTTTTAATTTCATAAAGGAGATGTGGTAATACTAGGCCTTGTTATTAAGTGAACCTCAAACTTGGGAATCCGATCTGCCTTTGTTGAAAAACATGTTTCTCATGTGCCTGAGGACTGAAAAACCTGTCATAGGTGAAGATAATTGCATTTTATGTCTGTGCAGGTGCATGGTGGGCTGGATATGTTTGAAATTTGAATAAAGAGGAGCACAGTGGCTCTTGCTGCCTGGTATGATCGGAGTAGAGAAATGTTTGGGATTTGCTGACAGTGATCTGAGCTTCCGTGCAATTTGTCTGACCGCAACCCAGAAATTGCTAAAGCTGCCCTCCTTGTATCAGTGGAAGATGAGTTTTTTTCAGAGCAGTAAATGGCCGTCTGGTCCAGTGTGCCTGCACTCATAATTTTTTAATTCCAGCTTTATGCTTTTTTGTTAGATCTTTTCATGCCCTTCTGCCTTCATGGGCTAGCCTGGATAGTTTTTGAGCTCGTTTATATCCCTTTTCAGTTGTCTTCCCTAATAATTTATTCCATATGTTTATTATCCTTTGTGCATAGCACTGCATGACTTTCCCTGTCTACAGCTATTTTTGTGTTGATGGCTTCAGGGCGGCTCGTGGATATGTTGGGAAAAAAAAAAACCCAGTTATTTGATATATATATAATTTTTGTCTTCATTTGGAGGCAGCAAATATCTTAATATCGTGACAACTTTAACAGTCAAGGCCACTCTAAAACTAAAATTATTTTAAATACTAATTTGGGCAATGGGTTAACTCAGCCTTGAATGTGGAATGAAGAAGAAAAGGAGGAAAAAATGCAAATACCATATTTTGAAGAAAAATGAATGTGAGATGGAAACGCCTAGAAATGGGAGAGGAACAGGGAGATGCTTATTGTGATTAATAGATTTTTATGGAAAGTTGACATTATATTTTGTACGTGAGACCAGAAATCTCATTAAATTTAGTATCTTGGCTGTATGTTAGTTGACATCTCCCTTGGGTCAACCCGCTCCCTAGAGCTTATTTGACTAATTTTCCCATTCAGTGAGGGTGTTTTCAGTTTAACCTTTGGGGATGGCTGCTGAGGGGATGAGTATTGAACAGATGTTCAGTCTTTGTTGTCCCAGTCGACTCTTTTGGGATCTAGAGACATCTTCTACACTCTTTTTTTCATTTCCCCAACTCTGTGGTCAGCAACTCTAATTCCTTCTACCTACACCAATGGAAAGAAAGAAGCATTTGTGCCTCAGTTTGGCTGGGACTGTTTTCAGCGCTACGGAGATACCTGCTGCTCCCCACTCATGTTGTTAACTGCAGCAGAACCGCTGGGTGTTTCTAATGAGGTATGGTTCTGGAATGACCTCAAAAATTGGAAAATATATTTATATGGGGCTCTATTCAGTGTGGAAGGATGATAAAACACTAAGGGGGGGGGGGAAAGGCATGTTTTTCTACATGGAAGCTGTGCCTTTCTACGCTTAATGTACATGGAAATTTCCATTCTGTGTCTAGACCAAGTATAAGCTGCTTGTGAACCTCAAATTTGCAATGCAGCAGTATCTGAAAGAGATCTGAGTGCCCAGATGTGTTTAAAAGTACCAGGCTGCTGTCGTAGCAGGACGTAACCCTTGGCTATGAAAGAGGTATTTTAAGCGTAAAACTGTGGTGGGAATAGGGGAAAAGTAATTTATATGCTCCAGACTTCAATTGGGAGCATATTTGCTAATCAAAAAGGTCTCTTGCCTCTTTAGAATTATTGCCTTGAGAGCAAAGGTGAAGTGGGCAAAGCCTAATTTGGTCTCCAGGCAAACATATTCCCTGGAGAAGTGTCAGGCTACTGTGAAGACTTGTAGACAAAGGTGGTTTCAGCCAGAGCAGATTGGTTAGGTCCGTTGTGAACCAGTTAATATCTCATATTTGATACCTGCCTGCATGATTTTGGACATTTAAGCATTCCCTTGAGCTTTGGAGTTACCTGCACAGAAGCAGCTTCTTCACCAGCTTTCTGCTTTGATTTAAGGATATCAGCATGAAAGAAGTCTTCTAATTTACTTAAATCATCATTATCCTCTTGGGTCCATAAGGCTTAAAACCAAGATCCATGGGATACTTTTTTAGAGGGAATGAATACTAATATATTTTATACATTGTATTTTGAATAAATGACTAAGAAACAAGAGTGTTGACGGGAGCTTTGTGGTGGTAGTGCTTGTGCACCTTGTCAGTAAGTGTATGTATCTGCTGGCAGCTCCTTAGGAAAAGCAGGGTAAATCTCATTTTTGACAGGTTACTGCAAGAAAACTTGACAGATTTTATTTGTTTATTTTTCCTGAATATTAGCCAAGTCCTTGGAGGTTTTTGAGTTTTAGCACTTTCGCTTGTTTGGAGAATTGCTAATCAAGCTCAATCTTAAAAATGGATTCCTTGCCCATGTTATTTGTTTAAAAAAATGGATCGCAGCAGCAGTTGTGCAAGTCAAGGAACAGAGACTTGTGAGTGGAGGAGGCAACTGTCTTGGAGAAGGGCTGAAACTCGCTTATCTAATACATTTAGCTTTAAAATGCTAATATATTTTCCTAGTTGTTTAGCAAAATTATGGCTCGCAGGTACCTAAGAGTGTGCCTACTAGAGCTCGGACTTGTTAAGATTGGACTTATTAAGATCTTGAAGGAAAATTGGTTTATTGCTCAGTTCTCTGAGAGAGATTTCTCTCCAACTTTTGTAGGCAGTTCCCCTGCACTTTTCCCTGAAGCATCCAATTCTGATCCCTACTGGCAACAAGATCTGCACAGACATATATTAGCCTGTCTAGCACTCTTGTATCTTTTGGATTTTATTTTATGTGTGTGTGTTTTGCATGAGTTTGCAGCAGCTTTCTGTGTTGGTGCTCCAGGAGCGCTGTCTCCAAAGTCACCACTGTCTGCTGCACCTGACAGTGACATTTTGGTGGTTTTGGAAGGAAGTCACAGTCCTGGAGCAGTCCTTGTCCCTGGTATGTTCAGCAGCTGTTTGGAATGCTGCAGAAGTGGTGAAATTACTTATTTTGAAATTTGTGGCTTACCAGTTTTGCAAGCACCTCTCCAGAAAAGTTTTCTAGCATCAAACACGTTGGGTAGTGAGCAGCATTTGGCTCCTGTTGCTCGTGGCATCCTCTAATGGTGCTAGCTAGTTCTGCAGGCAGCTTGAGATGACTTTTCCATAAAGGAAGAGGGAGCTTTTGCAGGGAAAACTGATGTAAATGTGTGTGGCGTTTTAAAATCATTTTGTTTTTCCTAGCAGAGTTGCTCTGCTTTTGTATAACTTGCCCACCGGCAACACAGTTTCATCTACAGATGATCCTTTAAGCAGTGATAACAACATGATTTTTATTTGTTATTAGAAAGTGGGGAATGATAGAATCTTTAGGAAATGCTTTATCAGTTGGTGGCTATTTTGGTTGAGAGGCATTTGAATGGATGGATAATGGATATTCAGTTAGAAGTGAATAAAGACAATCTTAATATTTTTTTCTGCTTTGCAAAACCCCTTTCTGGCTTTTTCAAGATGAAATTTCAAAGGGAAGCATCTATAGTCAGTGAGTTTTTCACTACATCTTTCAAGATCTTAGAGCTACTGAGGTTTTATTCTTTATTCACCTCATTTTTAGCCTTACACAGTAAAACATATTTTCCTGCTTTTCAAATTCTGATATTTTGACTTTGATTAAGCTAGTAATTAAAATCATGGGAGAAAAAAACACTTTTGCTAAAAAAGACAAAAAGCTCTTTGAGACTTCTTGTTCTGTATGTTTGTCTAGTGAGATTCACTAACTCAGAGCCTTGATTTAAGGCTGAGAGCTGGGCCTGCTCAGCCTGAAGGAAAGATCTGATCTGATCAGGGGATCTGATCAGTGTCTATAGATACCTCAAAGGAGGCAGTGAGGAGGATGGGGTGGCCTCTTTTCAGTGGTGGCCACTGATAGAACCAGAGGAAACAGCCACAAACTGAAGCACCCAAAAGTTCCCCAGGAACTTAAGGGAAAAATTCTTACATTGAGGGTACCATTTCTTACCAGGCTGCCAAGAGAGTTTGTGGAGTCTCCTTCTCTGGAGATCTTCCCAACCCACTTGGACGCAGCCTGTGCCCCGTGCTCTGGGTGACCCTGCGTGTGCAGGCGGTTGGACTAGATGACCTCTGAGGTCCCTTCCAACCTCAAGGATTCTGCGATTCTATGATGATTTCAGCTGGCAGTGCACATTGATAGTAATAAGAAAAATAACATCTTTGAGTTTAGTAAGAGATAGTAAAAGAAGTTTGGAATTTTCTAAATCGCAAGCTTACTATTAACCATATTTGTAAATTGATGTTAAAACAAAATAGTGAATGGATAGAAGGCTCATGGCTCCTGCCACACCCCATCTATAAATGCATCATCATTCCCCTGCACTTGTAAATAATGGTTTCTCTCCCTTTGAGCTGTTCTGTGGTGATGCTATTTTTATCATCTAAACTGATCTTTTTTAGTTGTTTCCTTCCTCTCTCCTTCTGCTTTCTCTGAGTTTATGGTCTTTGTGATGCTGCTTGTGTGTTCTTACATGAAAACGCTCTTGTTGGCTCATGAATTATTTGCAGGGGCTGGGAAGCCAAATCCACTCTGTGTTATTAGTCTGCTGGCTAACAAAACAGAGAAGCAGCAAATGAGCAGTGCTGTAACCAACAGTGCATTTACCAAACTTTATTATTTTCTTAAGAAAGCATATGATGTTTGGAGCTCTCATGCCATAGTTCTTCAACTATATGGAAGCAAATTCCAATACTAGCTACCTTGGAAATAACTACAGCTTAAACCATCATTTCCTTCCCGCTGTGCTTAGTGTAGTGTAAGAAGAATTCGGTGTTATCGATTTGCTGTCAGCTTGATGCAGTCTTTTTTTTCTCTTCAGTTCCGCAGAATAATGAGAAGCTTCAGGAAAGTCCGTGCATTTTTGCATTGACGCCGAGACAAGTGGAGCTGATCAGAAATTCCAGGTATTTCTTGTTTGTGCATTGACACTAAGAAGTTGTAGCTGTGTGATTCTTCAGTGCATAGAAGATTATGCATTCCTATATGTCTATAGGAGCTTTGTGCTCTGTATGGGAACAGTGTATTTGAAGGCACTAGAAGATAAGCCACTTTGAACATGAATATCCCATGTTTTTGGATATAGTTCTATCCACCTGACTCTCCAGGGTTTGCTTCTGCTGCTCCTATAATCTTCTCTTTGAGTAGTACACCTGGTCAGAAAAAAACAGCACAAAATTGCCGATGAGCTGAATTCTTTGCTGAGCTTGCAATTTGAATATTTGCAGGTTTTTCTTTGCAGCCAAAGTTCAGAAGCTAAATGTGTGATGCTGTTTCTCTCTGAAAGAAAGCTTCCTTCTTGAAATGGATGCTATAGCAACGAGAGAAGCAAATACCTCACACTGATTAGGATTTACCATGACCTCTGTCATGGCTTAACTTTTGATTCAAACTATGAACGGGTGAAAGGTGTCAGCACAGGCCCTAGAGGCCCTCTTTGGTTGACTTTTTGCATTGGCCCTTGCTGCGAGGAATAGAAAAGTGATGTCAGAGATCCCCCAAAACCAAGTGCAAAACCTTTATTTAATAGAAGAAAATTCTCTGAACAGTCAACTGTCGTGTTATCACAGAACCAGGAGGAAGGATTTATTTCTTGATTAATATTGTGATCCCCGTAGGTTAGCAGAGGCAGTGCAAGGGATGCTGAAGACCTAGGATGTGATAGACCACAGAAGTCTTTTTGGGTTGATAAGAGAGTATCTGTGTTACACTTTATTCTCCATTCTGTCTTCTCCCTTATATTTGGATTTATGCAAAAGCCTTCACTGTTCGTAATATGGAATAGTAATTCCATAGCAGTGGTTTCAGTGGGTGCCTTCACTTGTCTAGAGTGATGGCTGAACATGAAGTGGAAGAATACAGACCGTTGTGGGCACTATCCAACTGTTTTCCATGTGGTTTTTAGAACTCCCAGAGCAGCTTCTTTCTGTCAGGTGAACAGAGACTCTTCCCCATCCACCTGTCCCTCAAATTAAAACAACTGTATTAAATCACAAAGTTGGACTGAGATGCTTTCAGAGGCAACTGAACACTAAATTATGAGGGTTTTTTTCTCATTTTGTTGAGGAAAAACTCAAATTATGAGTTTTCTCTCTTATCTTGCATCTTGTGCAGCATTAAGGGTAGGTTTATACCTGTGTATCAAGTCTTCTGATAAAACACCCCTGCTCTGTGGAATATACCTTCCCCAAAATCATGTGTAATCATGTTTGCTGTGAGTAGTACTACTTTGAGCTAGCAGTACTAACAGTTGTTCTGCTCGTTTGCACAAACAGCTTCAGTTGAATAATTAAACAAAGAAAGTCTTGAAGGAATGCTACCTGATAATGACGGCCTTAAAACCTAGATTTTGCTGAGGGAGAAGTCTTCAGTGCTTAAGAATAGAAGAAAATATGCCAGACAAGTCAGTATCTTCCCCCAATGATTTTACTGCTGTGAAAATCCAGGGAAAGGCTGTGGGGGGATGCCTTGGGAAAGAAAATTTTGCAGGACTGCTGACCACTGCTCTTTGCAGAGTGAATTGTACAATATAAAGAAAACTCTAGAAGATAATTCTTGTGGGGGTGTTTTTTGACGTTTTTCACAAGTTTCTTCTCTGATCTATTAGGGAGTTGCAGCCTGGCGTGAAATCGGTTCAGGTTGTGCTAAGGTAAGTCTGAGCGTGGGGTAGATTAAACCCATGAGGTGCAAGATGGGGGAGGAGGGGAAGCACAAGCAGATGGTGAAAGTTGCAGTGGTATTATTATTATTATATTAATAGAGATACAATAAGCAGTTTGTTCACAGGCTTAATGCAAGCATCTTCAGCTTTGCTTTCTAACCTTTTTTTCCCTTCAGTTAGAGATGCAATAGAAAACTGCAGAGTATCAGACTCTGCTACCCAGCTATCAGAGATGATCGGAGATGGGTTTTGGGTTGGCCAGAGGAGGGAGCATGGGTTGATGTGGTGATGGCTCACAAAAAAAAAGAAAAGAAAAAAACAGAACAAAAAAGATAAGGCATGGGAATCTTAAGAGATGAATTGTTCCTTTCCAGGATCTGCTACACAGACACTAGTTCTCCTCAGGAGGATCAGTATCCCCCAAACATTGCAGTGAAAGTGAATCACAGTTACTGCTCAGTGCCGGTAAGTCTGCTCAGCTGGGAAGCGTCACGTTATGATTTATCAGGGACTTGGGTAATATAAATGGAAGCTGTTTTTCTGATAAATAGGCAAAGTAGGCAAAAATTCAGAGCACAAAAGCATATTGCTTAGTTTCAAGCTATTTTTCTAATGGGTTAATGGTGATGTTAAACTTCTCTTGCAGAAAGACTTGTTCCCTGTCACTCTGTTTAGTCTGTTCTGCTCTGTTCCCTATTTGAAAATGTGGGCGAGTAGGATTTTGCCAAGCTGTTGAATAGATGTCCTTCTAGCAGCATCTTCAGTGAAATCTGATGTAACAGTCATACAAAAAAATCTTTCTACCTTAGGGCTACTATCCATCAAACAAACCGGGCGTGGAACCGAAGAGGCCCTGTCGTCCCATCAACCTCACCCATCTCATGTACTTGTCTGCAGCAACTAATCGCATCACCGTAACCTGGGGGAACTACGGAAAGGTACTTGCTGAGGGACATCGTGCCAAGCTGCACGAGCCAGTGAGAGAGGGCGGCCTCGCTCATTCTCGCCCTTCCTTCCCTCATTAGAGTTATTCCGTGGGGCTCTACTTGGTGCGGCAGATGACCTCAGCAGAGCTGCTGCAGAGGTTGAAAACCATTGGGATCAAGCATCCAGAACTGTGCAAAGCACTTGGTGAGTATGTCTGCTTTGGAGATGACTAGGGGAGGCTGGCTGCGTGTCTCTGCCTTCCTTAAGCTCTGCAGCATTCCTTAGTAATCAGGTTGCTAGAAATTTATCTGGCAACAGCTGCCAAATTTCATGTCATTACTTTTCTCTGTCTCTATAGAAATATTTATATTTGCACAACCCCCCTGAGCTGTATATTAGTGGTGTGAAATGTCCCAAGTGTGCAAGCCCAGCACTTCTGCAGAATGTGTTTCTGGTGGCTCTGCAGGAGCTCTCAAAACTTAGTTGGATTGAGAATTTGTCCCCACGTTGTCTCATGGCGAGTGCTGCTGAAGGCCAGTGTTGTTCTGACACGAGTGGCTTCATGCCTTTGTCTGATGAATAGCACGTTGGCCTTGGCCCGCGCTATCTCCAAATGAGATTCCAGGAGCAAAGGATCCTGGTGAAAATGTCCTCCTGCCCAATCCCCAGTGACTCCTAGGGCCTGGAAGTGGGATTTCACCCCCAGCACCTTTACGTGCCTTGAGACCTTCACAGAAGAACTGATCCTGAATCAGAGAAGACCTGATCCTGAAATATGCTTATGCTAGACTGCTCAGGTAAATCAGTGTGACGTGAGGCAAATGGAAAGGTAATTTCCTCTCACATTTACAATAAGACAGGTGCAGTTTCCAAAACACTGGAGAACTTCTTTTCAGTTGCTTACTGTAACCAGAGAGTGTCTCTTTCAATTCCCTTACATGGAACGAAGCACTAATGCTGCGGACCACGATTGCCTTTAAAAAGTGCTGCTCAGACCACAGCAACTCTTACCAGACATGAGAAATGTAACTTCAAGATAGGTTGTCATCTCCACCTTATAGGGGAGATGATAATTTCAGACGTGTCAGATCTTGAGATTTCTAACTGGAGGGAACATCTGTACCGTGGGGCATGCTGCTGCTTTGGCCAAACTGTATCTTCATATGCGTAAGTGCAGCATTTCTGCAGCACCTGCTGAACACTTACAGATCTGTACGCCAAACCAAATAGAGTGTTCACGGCCATCTGACCACATTAGACCACTGTGACTGTCACCACGCATCTACCGACTTAACAAAAAAATCCATTTGTTAAATATCCACCATTCTTGGAAGGCAGAAGCTTTTAATGGGCACCCCTTTTTGGCTGTTCACCAGAACTTTAAATGAACTGAGCAGTACGTGTTGTTCCTTTCAAAGTGAGCACTTACAGGATGGTTTCCCAAACTGGAGGCAGTTCAGTTCAGAGGTCCGGAAAACAGCTTTCCTCCCCCTTTGCCACTTGGTACCAAGTGTCTGTCTCCAGTTCTCTTGAGTTGGGTAACTGACAGCTTAGGCTGAGCTTGGAGGCAGAGATCACTTGTGTTTGGTGAGGTTATATTTAACAAAATAGGAAGATGATCTTGTTTTGTTTCTTTTGGCCTGTTCCTGCTTGAAAGTTGTTTGGATGTTTCAAACTGGCAGGCCCAAATAGCTTGTAAACTTTGCTGTTCAAGCTCTAGTCTGTTTTGGAAGTGTTTCCACATTCTGCTCATTGTAATATCCCTCAGTACATACTAAAGCTACTCTTTGACTTCAACTGCATCCCAGGGCTGACTCATCTTCCTTTGCATATGTTTCTGTTGACTTCAGTAGGAACGTTGTCTGGAAACAGAGTCGCTTATGTACATAGCTGTGAATCTAAGAGCAGGCTTAAGGCAGCTTGATTAGGATTGGGAGGTTTTGGAAAAGCCCTCTTCTTGGAAGAGTCCTTCCCTTGAGTCACAGCACCTGGTATGTTTTAATACGAATAAAACACCACCAAATCTTGGAATCTCACTTGAGAAGTTGCTCTCTGTTTGGAGCTGTGTGTTGCAAACTGCATGCATGTTCATTGACTGGAGACAATGTGCATTGATTGGAGACATCTTGTTATGATATGAAATGATTAAAGTAAATGATTTGACTTGCTACCAAGGAAAATGGTGATGGAAGCATCTTAGGCCTGTCCAAGTAGCTGTGCTAACAACAGCTGTTCTGTAAGAGCTGTTTGATAGATTAAAGTCAACTGCCTTTGTTAATCCTGCGCTTTGAGGAGGGACGTCCACTTGTGGGACCTGCACATCTGCTCTTGTTCCCCATTCGCCTGCAGGTTCCTCTGGCTTTTTTGTTCCAGGTTGTGGCAGCAGGGAGAGGGCTTCTCTACCTCCTTTTCTTCTTTCGTGCCTGACTCAAATATACTGGCTCACTGCTTTTGACCTTTTTTTTTGCATGGCTGACACCTTGGCCTAGTCTTCGAGCTTTCTGCTCTGATACGTCTTTGGTCTCTTTGTGGTTCCTCTGAGGCAGACTACTGGGCTAAATGAGCTGGAGAGTTGCAATCGAGTAACCTTAGAGAAGGCTAACTTGTCCATTTGATAGGGAAGTGATGGGATATGCTTTCTTGCCAATTTGACTGTGTCCTGTGTTGGCTCGTTTTTGGGGGCCTTTCCTCTGAATCTCGGTAGAGGGGAGGTAACCCTGTCTTATTGCCACTGATCTCAGGGGGAATAAAATTCATCCTGCTTGTGCTAATGACCAGACAAGCCTCAATGGACTTTGCTTCAGAAGTCCTACTGCCATGTGCTAGAGCTTTCCATCCCCACCAGACCAGTCTAATATATAAACAGCAGGAAGTCCAGAATGTCTTAGCCTTTTCTCAGTGTTAATGATGACAAAGCTAACTCCCAGCTGGATGCCTCAGTATAACAACAGCATGAAAAACAGTCAGCCAGCAATGTGGTCTCCTCTGTGTACTTCAGCTGTTCAGCCTGCAGCTCCTCACAGGAGGAAGGGTCATGTAAGAGAACATTAACAGTGAAGCTGCTGGTTACCAGGCACACGGTGCTCTCTCCTCATCCCCACACCTCTTTTGAAGTCTATCTCCTTCTTTTGCTTTTCCCACTGGACAAGGTGGGTTTGCCTGGGAACACTGAGTCATTGGGAAGGGAGTTAAATGTGTGTTTTGAGTAGGGACTTAAGTGTTCCGGCAGTCTCATGATGCACAAGGTTTTCAGCTAGCTAAGCTGTCTCTCAGCCCTGGTAATGAGAAAACTACAGAGCTCTGCAGTCTCATGTTTTCTGTTCAATTCAAGGACACTTTCTCTGTCTAACAATTGGTTTCTCTCTTCTCTGTCCTCTGGCCCTGACTGGCAGAGGTTGTCCTCTGCAGGAGAAGTGACTTGTGCACAGTCAAGGGCTATTGGTGAGCGCTTTGACCTGCACTTTGTGGCCAGATTCCAATTTGGATCTGTTATTTTTTTCCTCTTTGCTTTTACTGCAGTAAAAGAGAAGTTACGCTTGGACCCAGACAGTGAAATTGCTACTACAGGTGTTCGTGTGTCTCTCATCTGTCCGGTAAGTCTTTGCGATACATTTTAGTCTGTTTTTTATTAAGAACTCCTATTTTGCTGTCAGACCAGTGTTGCAGGCTCACAAACCTTTGATATCAGAGCTTTTTTGTTAGGTGGAGAACTGTCTACTGATAACCTGGGTGGGGATTATTGCTGATCTCCTGTTCTTTGGTCCAACAGCTAGTGAAGATGCGGCTGTCTGTCCCGTGCCGGGCAGAGACCTGTGCACATCTACAGTGCTTTGATGCCGTCTTCTACCTACAGATGAATGAGAAAAAACCCACATGGATGTGCCCTGTGTGTGACAAACCGGCACCCTACGACCAGTTAATAATTGATGGGTGAGTTGCATACACTCCTGTCTTCTCAACTTCTTTTCTCTGTTGGTTTCAGGGTCTTCTTTTTAGTCTTTGCATCTGATGGAGGTCTGCCTCAAAACAATGCCAGGAACAAATGTTCTGCTGGTGCACAATATTCTAACTTATTTGTCTTAATGTGCTTGAGTAAGGCTTGACTGTTGGTGTGCTCTTCTTGATTCTCAGATAATGCTAAAGCATTTTGAGAATTGAGCATTTACTGCCTCACTCTTTTCATCAGGCTGATGAACCCACACAACCAGCTGCGTTGGTTGACAGATGTCATGCTGCATGGAATAAACCCACTTTATAAGCACCCGATAAGGTGATATTTTTTTGGTAGGAAATATCTTCCTGTTTTCTTGTTGATGTGAGCTGCTTAGCAGCTTGCAGGTGATTAGCATGTGGTCAGGGGTCTTGTCTGCCAGCTATTAAAGCAAATATCTTGAAACATCCATCTCGCTGAGAAGGATGTACAAATGCAGTATTTGGATGTGATTTTGGTATAGTTTTTATGTTATGAATGCCTAATCAGAGCAAAAGAGAGGGTTGCAATTCCATGGAGGGATGGTTAAGCTGCTTGGGAATGTTGTCCGGATTGAGTGGCTTTGCCTGCAGGCTCCCTGGGCCTCCAGCCCTGCAGCACCCACCAATGCAGCTCCCAGATGGCCAGGTGAACCCAGACAGCAGGAAACCGTGGGGTGCTCAGCAGGGCTGGGGGCCTCCTGGCTGTCCCCAAAGTGGAGCATGTCAGGAGGGGACCAGCCTTTGGGACAGCTACCTGAGCAAAGAGAGTCCCTGAATGGCAGACCCTGAGATCTTGTGTCGGCACCGCACTTGATCCTGCAGCCGTCCTGGGGCCGCTCACTGTCCCGCGGCGGGCTGGGAGTGTGGAGCCGCTGCAGCATCCTCATCCTCTGTGCTCCCAGCAAGGCAGCCCTTGCTGCTTCTGCATTAGGGATGTTCTATTTTTACCGTCTCTGTCTGAATTTGGCATAGCCGGAGTAATGCGGTAAGAGCACAGGAGGGAACTGGAGCAAAGGAAATTCCAAGAAGCATTTGAAGCAACGTGAGGCAGAAATGGCGTGTGTTCTCTGAGCCATGGCAAGCGCGCTCTGGCCACGAAGTGGTGGAAGGCGGCTTGAGACTGGCCACTCAACCTGTCCGCTGGTTTGGAACCCTTGCGGGAACGATGTTTCCCGCATCTCCAGACTGCAGTTGCTTTGCTGTGGCTTTTTCTGAAGAGGCAGGAGGTCTTACTTTAAATGAAGAAAGATAGGGGAGTATATTTTGGCAGCGTTAGGGTACTTTGGAGGTGGTGATGTTCATCTGAGGTTTGATATTGTAAGACTTAAAAGCACAGGTGTCTTTTTCAAGAAAATTTCTCTAAAATGGCAGTTCTCCCTCTCGCTTTTGCTGACCTGGCAGGTGGGAGTCCTGTATGCAAACTGCAGAACTCGCTAGGCTGTCGGCAGAGGCCACCTGAGGCAAGCTAGGAAGCTGGCTGCAGTGCTTCTTATCCCCAGAAATGTGGGTTCCAGAGGCTGAGCTCCAGAGAGGAGCTCAGTACGTTGCCTGGCTTCCTTCCAAGAGCAAAGGAAGGAACATGGAGTGCATTAACGTGAGCAATCATCTCCACCCACCCCCAGATGAAGCGCGGTTGCCTAGAAATGCAGGGGGGTTTATGGGCTGGGATCACCGACGTGCGTCGTGGCGCTAGCCCAGCTGCCGGCACCACTGCAGACTGGCGGAGCAAGATGCACTTGGCTTCTGGAAAGTGATCTCCACCCTCCTGCCTTGTATAATCGGCCTCTCTCGGAGATTCCCTCAAATGCAAGGAGAGCTAGGAGAAGCGGTTGAGATGCATCCAGCTCCTTTGGCACGCGATGCAGCGAAGCGGGTGGACGAGCCTCAGCCTGGGTAGTTTCTTCCCGCCGCGCGCTGACAGAGCTACAGACGTCGCTGCGTTTGCAGGGACTCGTGTGGTCCGGTAGCCGTGGCTTTTTAGGCTCTGGGAAACAGCCTAGGCACAGATAACCTGTTTGCTTTGTCCTCTGGCCAACAGCAGCAGGAAAATCCAGTTCCGTCCAGATCACTAACAAAGCTGCAGTGGGGGAAAGTGCGAGGGACTGTGGCACCTCCACGGATCATCAGAGAACATATCGCTCCTCAGGAGGAGCAGGTCACCATCGAAAACCCATAGGTTTGTGTCTCTGCTTTGCACACTGCGTTTCAGCGCTGGTCCTGCCATACGAAGGTAGTTTAAAGACCTCCCAGGAGGAAAGCTTGATTGAATGTTAAATTAGTCAAAAAAAAAGAAAGAAAAAAAAAGGAAAGGGGTGTAGGCTCCTGTGGAGGTGGTTGACTGATTGAGCCGAAGATCCTCTGGGCCCTGTTAGCTTTTCTGGAATTGCAGCCTTGGTGGTTGCTCTGCTACAAGACAGAGCCGTCTGACTTGAGCTGGGAGAAGCAGTGTCCAGACCAGAGTTGTGTGCCATGAGTAGCTCTCCTGGGCTTCTGAGATTTTGGGAATCAGCTCTCTTTTCTGTTGAAAGGAAGTGGTGTAGTCCAGAGGTGAATGAAGGCCTTGCAGAACAGGGATTTTTGATAGCATTTCCAAATAAACATTTTCAGCAAATTGTGAGACGTACCAGAGTAAAGCAAGCGTCCAGTCTCTAAGGTGAAATAATCCTTAATTAAGGACCCCAGTCTGGTTACCTCTCCATGATGAGGGGCTATTTTGTCTCTTCCTGATGCCTTGGTATGAACATACCTGCAACAGCCCTGTAAGAGCTCTAGTTGGGGCATCAAACAACTGTCTGTAAGTGGTACCACAGACTTGGGAAACTGGGTGAAGAGGCAAGACTGTCTTCTAATTGCACGTAATTAGAAAGCTGGTTCATGGTTGAGGTACCTTGTCAGAAAGAGCTCGGGTGTTTTGCGTTGTCAGAACCTGGACTTGTTGTGTAGGGAATCAAACAAGCCCAACTGCAAAGACTGTCTGCTTGGCAGCCTACCACTACCACCGCATTTCTCTTAACTTTAAGGCTGTTTAAGGTGAAGATCCAGGTTGATGGCCTGTCGCTGAATGCAGTCTGCCCATAACCATGAGATTAATTGATGGCATCTTTTCTCCTGCTCAGGCTCCTGTCAAAGATACTGACGGAATGTGAAGATGCAGATGAAATAGAGTATCTGGTGGATGGCTCCTGGTGTCCCATCAGAGCTGAGAAAGAGCGGAGCTGCAGCCCTCAGTGTCCAATATTAGTTTTAGGTGAGTATCTAGGGGCCTGAAGGTTTGAAATGACTGTAGAGGACATGCACACACTGCAGATCTGGAGTTTCCCACCTGGCTTGGAAAAGCCATGGGATTCAGAGAGCTGCCTCTGGAGAGCCCCTTGTACGACCAGCACCACAGGGATCCATTAGCTCTCTGTGGAGGACGGCGGTTGCGGTTGATGGGAAGTTGGATCCCTTGAATTGTGCTTCTGCAAATCCAACGGGTCACTTGGCAAACTGGGGTGCTTCTCGGAACAGCACTGACTGCTTTGTTGGCATTTGTGTTGTACTCACCTGGAGCACTGGGGGCAGTTCTGGGCTCCCCGGAACAAGAGGGACGTGGAGCTTCTAGAGGGGGTCCAGCGGAGAGTGACAAAGATGATGAAGGGAATGGAGCATCTCTCGTATGAGGAGAGACTGAGTGAGTTGGGCCTGTTCAGCCTGGAGAGGAGAAGGCTGAGAGGGAATCTGAAGGGGGAACGTGGGGAGGAAGGGGCCAAGCTCTTCTCAGTGGTGGCCAGTGACAGGACAAGGGGAAATGGGTATAAGTTGAAACCCAGGCAGTGCCATCTCCATGGGAGGAGGAACTTCTTTGGTGTGAGGGTGCCCGAGCCCTGGCACAGGCTGCCCAGGGAGGCTGGGGAGTCTCCTTCTCTGGAGGTCTCCAAACCCGCCTGGATGCTGCCCTGTGCCCCGTGCCCTGGGTGTCCCTGCTGGAGCAGGAAGGTGGGACTAGATGATCTCTAGAGGTCCCTTCCAACCTTGAACACTCTGTGATTCTGTGCGTTTCTGGAACGAACCGAAATACCTCCAGCAAGACCAGCCTAGACAGCACTGTGCTTTTTTTCTGTGGGAAAACAGGATTTTGAATCTGTTGGGCAGCCCACCTGAGGTCAGAGCTGGGAATGGTGATTTTTACTGGCAGGATGGGCGGGTAACGTCTGCCTTGGCAGAGCCCGTTCCCCGTTCACGGGCAGCCACCTTCTAAGCAGGCCGTGCAGGTGCTTTGGGGCACGGCAGGCAGCGCTGCCCGCAGACAGTAGCTCAGGTTTGCAGCAGGGCTTGGTTTAGGCAGCTGCTTGTCTGCAGTCTGTTTGCTGCCACCGCTTGGTCAAGCAGAGCAGAGCCGTGACAGACTGGGACCACTGGAGCAGCCCCACAGCGGGACAGTTAGGTGCCTTCCTCAGTCCTCGCTCTCCCTTTCAGGTTCTTCAGATGTAAACGGGCTGTTGCCCCCTCCGAACAGCAACGCTGAGAACGGCAAGGCCACTGCTGATGTTGTGGATTTAACACTGGACAGCTCCTCATCGGAGGAAGAGGAGGAAGAAGACGAAGAGGAAGATGACGACGATGATGGACCCCAACCAAAACGACGCTGCTCTTATGAGAAAGGTTTAGTTTCTGCCTGCTGACTGTGGAAGTGGCTCTGGATCTCAGAATGGACAGACTTGAATACTCTGGTGCTTACTAAACTGGAGGAGGGGGAGAACGTCTTCTCCCACCTCATCTCCCTTCCTCCCTGATCACCCTTGACTTTCCTATTCCAAGTTAACCATTAAAATGAGAGAAAACAAAAAAAAAAGGCAAAACAAACAAAAAAACAAATAAAAATAAAACCATTGAGCTGCTTCTTGGTTGGAAAACTACCCCACTCAAAGCCTGACCCAGAACCGGAGCTTGAAGTAAGGAAAGTGTCTTAAGCCAGGCAGTCGGAAGCAGCAGTTGGCTGCTCTGTGCTGCCCTTCCCGAGTGCGGTTTGAATCTGTGGAGTTCACCTGCAGACCTCCAGGACATCCAACTCCTGCGCATCTCCAAAGCTGTGTGCATTTTATTGTCTTGTTAAATAACCATTCCTGATTATCTAAAGTTTTGCTGGACATGTGAGTGGGGAGGGTTTTG